GATCGTAAATTGTATACCACAGGCAAAATTTCAAACTTTTGGCCGAGCCCTATTGTGAAAAACAAAACAACGAGAATTGTAGGACTATCTTACTTTATAGTAATTTCACGAAACTTGTTTTTAGGTATTTGTTTTACAGTAGGACACCCTTCGACATCATAAAATTTTTCGTGCCGTACTTTTTATTGAACTACCGGGATGGACGGACAGTCGTAAGGGTAGAGACACGTGTTTGAATAGAGACGGGAGTAAACTAGTGCACGCGCAGGACACACACCTCCTCCCGCAGCATTCCTTCACCGTCTAAAAAGGGCCAACACTATAAGTTTATGATCTCGTGGCTGAGCTCGACCAAAGAGGTTTTTATGGAATGGAGGTGGGAAATTCCTTCTGATATAGGTCTTTTCTTATCACTCATGTCGGAGAATTTCGGGGTGCCTTGGGCCGAAGGCCCGGCTTTAGCGTAGTAAAATTTGGTCACCAACGCTTTTTTGTGTGCAGTGTGCAGGCCCTGCAATAAATGTATAGGCTGTTCATCTAGAAATTTAACTGAACCAGGCTCCTGTTCACTGCCAAAAATCGGGATAAGTAAGTGTTTAATTAACTATTTAAGTCGATGGTTTTCTTCTTGATTAAAGCATTTAACAGAGACAGGCGGTAACACACACCAAAACGAACCACGCTTAGGCTTCCTGTACGTAGAGCGGCGAAAGGGGAAAACCTCAGCTGGCAGTGCGCGCACTTAGTCTAGTCTTACTGGACAAGTCTCGGCCACGGCGTATTTTTGTTGTCAAGACCTGTTGTATCGGCACACAAAGACAGCTTTCTGACCGTGAATTAGGTGGAACAAGTACGTTTTTCTTGGGTCATTTGGTGCCTCTATCTACTATTATTCAATTATGTAAAGTTTTCAACCTTTTTTACTTACTTTCGTATATAAACTTATAGAAGCTGCATAAACTTAGTAAAATTGCTTTGCCTTTTTTATGACCTTTTGACTATTCTATGGACGGAGTTGTCCTTACATACACACCATAAAGACAGCTTTCTGACGAAACTTTGTGTACGGTCAGAAACAAAGTACGTTTCTGGGTTATTTGTGCCTCTATGCTACTATATTTCAATTATGTTTATAAAGTTTTCATATTTATTACCTTTCGTGTAAAAATTATAGAGCGGCATGAAAATAGTAATATGCTTTATCCTTTTATTGACCTTTGACATCTAAGACGAGTTGTCTACATAAATGGTCCCTCCCCACTCCATAGTCCATTTGCATCACTATGCTGTTTCTCTTGGCTTTCTCCCTGGGCGCCCTTGGCTTTCTCTTCTGCGCGTTTATCTCTTCTGCTTCTATATGCTTCTATCCGCGCCCTCTTGCTTCTCTCTCGCTTCTCTCTGCGTTTCTTCTGCTTCTCTCTGCCCGCCCTCTTGACGCTACACTTCATTTCCTATGTCTGTTTGGTAACTCTTTAGAATCTTTATATCAATCTTATCTAAAATCTTCAAAACTTGTCCCGCCGCGATCGCCCACGATGAACCGAGTTCCGGGCCTACAAATAGCTTTCGGGGCTACAAGTCAATTTTTTTTTCTTTCTAAAAAAAAAAAAAAAAGACGTCTTACAGAGCCCTCATTACACGGTCATGGCCTCACGGTGGTCTCCGCCGCTCGGTGACGCGGCGTAATCGACTTCATGCGCTCGGAGGGAGGGAGCTTCTTCTTCTGGAAGGTTCTTCGGACTGTAAAAGTAACTTGTCCGCTTAGTTTCGACGTCTTCGTGCCGTCGACGTCGGTCGCTGTTATTACAGTAGTGGTCATCATTCTTACCTATACAAGTCCAAACATTGATTACCCTATAACTGTGAGACGACTGACTTCTTACTTTTTCTACCTACATTGGCAATTAGATATCGATCATGTGTACTCATTGCGTGTGATTCGTATGGGAGAAATCTGACTCATAGAGCATTTGTCTGTGTACTTGTAATGATTCTTCATTGCACTGGGAAGTATGGAGATTTTATTGCATAAGGTTAAATAAACGAAGCGAGCACCTTAATGGGCCGGAGCAAGTCTCGTTGTATTTGTTGACCTTGGTATCGTTGCCTTGTGTCGTTGGCCTTGTGACTTTACTAATTGCAGTATATCCTGCAATTTCATCAATTTAGCTACTTCAAAATACTTCAATGGTAACACTAGGATTGACTTACGTTAAGTTATGGATGTTAAACAGCACCAGATGACGAAGCGAGCTCCCAGTGTGAAGGCTGGTCTGAGGTCCGTGTCAGAGAAAGACAACATGCACTAGCTTACTTTTATTTGATGCGGGCATAACGGATGCAAAGGCTAGTGACTTATCCGACCGGGCCGGCCCACACCGGTACCGGCCCATCGGGATTCGTCCCGAGCGTCCCGATGGCCAGTCCGCCACTGGGCTTCCTACATTATTTGAGGGTCTGTGATGACTGCTACTTTTTTATACCAACATGTTGAAATCCCTCCAAAGCGGCAATTATGGTGCTCAAACCACTTAACCTACACTACTGGATATTTGTTAAGTGGAATATTTCACTGTAAAAATACAGTCGCACTCCTAATGGTTCCCAAATCACAGTTTCCTGAACTGTGAACTTCTCATGTGTTTGCAGGTTAAACCTAGGCTACTCATTTTTTAAATGGTGCTAGAATCTTACATAATTAAATTAATACATAGAGCTGTTTGGAATTATGAAATGGGCAACAAACATTTATCTGAGCAATAACAAAAAAACTGTTGAACTAATGCTGTGATCTCTTAAAGTGAGCCACAAAGCATCATATTACTTGGGTTGTATAGAGGCTGTCATAGCAATTGAATGTTGGAGAAAGGCTTTTCTGTTACTGTGTGTGGCGTATGAGATATGTCTGGGCTCTTAAAATAGTATGAATAGCTTTTCTACAAAAGAGCGCTTGGTCTTACTGGAATTAGAGCTGACAGGGAAGGAAAATCTAACAGCTAGTCTCTTCTGCAGTGGTTTTGGAGAACGCTTGCCTGGATGAACCGGTGGAAACTGAACTGTCCCTGATGACTCGACCACTCGACGTTTTAATTTCTGCTTCTTTTTTGCTGCAGCCTGCTTACCCTGCCTCAGAGGTGGGTGGTAGTAAAATATTAAACAAAGTACATTAAAAGACTGTAGCCAATGTATAGCCTGCAGCTACTGTGGATAATTGTATAATTGTATTTGTAAGCTGTGGTCCAATTATATACAATCTAAATGTCTTCTTACCTTTTACATCATGGTTTAAACTAGCTATACATTACACTTTACATGTAATAAAGCAATACAAAATCTTCACTTTTCATCATTTCTACATGTACACAGGAGACTTGGTCGTTATGTTGTTTGTGTGCAGGTATTTTCTTCCTCCTCCTGTGTCTCTGTGGTTGCATATGAGTGAACAGGTGGTGCCCGGTAGCTGATTGGCTGCCCTCTTGGTGTTATATTGATATTTATGTGCCATCCATAACCTGCTGTTTATTGTTGGGGGTATGTTAAAAGTTCCCACCAACGTTTTATAATATTTGATTACGTTTTTGATCCGTTTGGAGGAATCCGTTTCGTCAACTCTCTGAGGTATAATTCGACTAAATGCGTTACTTTAACGTATTCGCTCTACCCTTTCGCAAACCGTTTCTTCTTTTATGTGCTGTATTTATCAGCAGTTTTATATAAACTAACCATCGGTTTAGTAGCGTATTCTGTGTATTTTTATGTTTGTTAACGACACGTAAAGTCAAGTCTATTTCCGGTATTACTTGTCATTCTGCTGGCTTAGTTCGCTCACGTATCACTCCAGTTCTAATAGCCTACGTCGCGTAGTTGGTTCCGCTAGGGTCTGTGCTGACTTAGTTCCGAATAAGTACCTTGAAGTGGTGTTTGTGGTGGGCCGTTTGTTGTGCCGTGCGAGTGGAATAGACCGCAGACATAGGCACAAAGAGAAACGGGGCCGAGCATTGGAACTGGCGACGACCCCATTCGGTGCGGGCGCGACGGGGCGGCGCGGTCGTCGCACGACCTTTCACTCGAGCAATAGAGTCAAAACTTGACAAGTCCTAAAGAGGTGGTAACGTTGCAGAGGTCTGTTGGTTAACGCAGTGGTGACCGTGCTTTTTTTTCCTATGTTGCATTTGGTACGTAGTTAGTGTAAGTAGTGGTAACTTGTAAGGGACAAAGGGAAAATGTTCGTCTATGGTATGTTTACCTGTCTTGCCATAACGTACGAAGGGTTTGCGAACGTACAGTCGACCTCCCCTGCAGTATTGAGGGTCGTACAAGTCTAATATTTATAGACTAGTCTTCCCATTCGTATTTTATCCTCTAAATACAATCTGTGTGTCTTTCTTTCTGCCCATGGCTTGTCCTCCTTTCGCTAACATTTAATATGTTTTTTACTTTGTGTTTATCTCAACGTTTCTGGTTGTTTTTTCTTTGTTTGGAATTTTTAACGTTTTTAGAATGGATTTCTTTTTTTTCATGTCGAGATGGTGTGATTGAATTTGTCCTCTTTTGCTAGTAGGGTTTTCCTTTTCTTTTGTTTCAAGCGTCGGACTCTGTATTTAGAAGCTTTCTGTCCATTCCACTGACCGGCGTCGGTCCCTCTTCCTGTTGCTATAGTTCCACGCTTGGTGTCGTGGTATCTTGTTTTTAGAGTTTTTTTCGCGGCGCACCTCATCTCTTCAACTCAGTCCGTCTCGCCGGCTCCTTGGACGTGCCGACGTCGATTTATAGAGCGCAGAGGGGTCCACCTATTA